ATCGGACTCCGATGGGCCCCCGTTCTTCCTTTCGCGTCACCCCTGTGCGCGCAAGGCATTACGGACCGTCGAGCGCGATCGACACTGATAGGGCTCGCTCCCGAAGGAGAGTTGTGACTGGGAAGCCCCCGGTGGTCGCTCCCGAAGGATTGATCGATGACCAATGAATCCCGTCGAACGATCCGACGGAGTTCGGTCCACCGAGGGGCCCGTTTATGGTCGCCTACGCCACGGTCCCATTGGCCAGACGAGCCGCAGGAGCCACGTTCCCATTCGCTCCATTTCGTAGGATTTAGCAAACGTCCCAAAGACCGAAACCATTCGTTGCGGGACGTGTCTCGCATGTTCCTTGTCACTCGACACATTGGTGACCGGCAATTTTACAACGCTAGTCGAGTTAACTCGCGCCGGAACGACTAGCATTGATGAAATCCAATTCCTAGCCGTTCCAATTGGTCCTGAATCTTCATCTTAAATAGATCTGTCACTCTTTTAAACGCATTTACGAACTTCGTATCATATCATCCACGCTCCTTGCCTTTTCGATAGGTATATAATACTGTGAAATTCAAGCACAAAATACAGGTTGTACGAAAGGGAATGTTCTTTAATTATGTCAAGTATGGGATTGCGGGGAAATCTCTTAACTGAGAAGTGAATATTTCCCAATTCGAAGTACCGAAGTTTGGCGTTAAATACTCGATGCGGTTCGCGCATGATACTTATACGTATTAGGCGCTAAACTACCCAGTTTCCTGATTCGCCCCATAGATAAGAACCACGAAGAAGATAAGAAGATGATAAGATAACAACATCGGAGGGGTAGGTACCGTTCCAAGATCTTCGTTGAGAATGGCAAGAGTTGGTCACGGACGAGCGTTCCTTTCCAGGTGAATCCCCCGGATAGTAAACGGGGGATACCGTCCATTGTCACGAACAAGGTAGGTAGGCGCGGCTAGGTTGTTACCATTAGCGCCAAGAGACGAGGTTACGACGGTACCCTGAGGGGCCGCAGAGGTTGCCCGGGGACTCTCGGTTCCGCGCCGTGCCCCCATCAGATGGTGCGCCGAGATATTATTTACTGGGAACACGATTCAATAAAGCATTCTATAAAATCATCGGTTATTAATTTGACGGTTCCGCACCGCGGGTGGTGATTGCGGTTACGCCGCGGGATTCTTCTCTTATCGGAGCCAATCGACGATCCGCCCTCAGATTGCTTGCTGCGGTCGGGTCCTTTGCGACCCTTACCGATGGCTCACGAGGCAAATTCCATTCTCAATTCGCGCGGATCCCAGACAATTCGTCTGCAGTTTCTTCACCATATGAAAGTCTGACACTTGAAGTGAAACAAACTTACCGTGGCAAAAAGACACGACAGAAAACTGTCTTTCCATTGAGACAAATTATCGGCACTACCTTTTCTATCTGTTACTCGGGGTTATTGCAAGAAACTATCCCACGTTTCAATTTGTCGCTACTTGTTAATTGAGAAATTTGCATTTAATTTAACCCTTTTGCGACCCGCGCCGGTTATGTCCGGTCTCCATTAAATGCTTCACCCTGACTAGCGCCGGCTATATTCGGCCTTCAGTAAATGCGTTACATCAGGCCAATGGAGACGTACCGATGGACAGTTCCGCCGGTTAACCGTTTGCGTACCACGAGCCACTTTCGCGCTCTTCAGATTTTGTGTCGAGAAAAGCCAGGGCATTTGGCCGAAACAGACGACTGACGGCCCACCCGAAATTTGAATATGATAAGCGCTATTGCGCTCTACGGCTTTTTTCGACACGTAATCGAAGGAGCGCGATCGCGCTCTTTGGCGCTTTTCGATCCTGTTTTTTCAGAACCATCTGGTACGCAAACGGTTAAGAAAATATTTACGAAGGAGCGCTATTCTTCACCCCTATTTATTTTTTTTTATAAATAGATATTTCCTAAAGACCAAATGGTATTGCGGTTGATCACGTCATAGATCTTGATCAAACAATGATTTCTTTGCTGAATGAACAATTCCTCCGTGGAATATAAATAAGTGTGTTAAAATATTAAACGGTCCGTAGGACAAACCGCAAAAAAGTGAGAAAAACTACTTTCGTTAATAATTGCACTCTTTAAACGGTCACTTAACGCATCCTGACTAATTCCAGACTAAAGCCAGTCGGACAATCAAATGTCTCGATTTTTCTTCAACAACTAGGACTTATCTCTCTCGGCTCTTATAATACTTGAATCGCCCATTTATTCATATAGTACGGTCACGTCAGAATGTATGTTCTCAAATTCGACTGTAATGGTAAGCGAATATTGAATGAGCACTTCTCCGAAGGAAGAACTCGCTTATGAAGACGTTTAACGAACGGTTCATTTGAAACAACTTCAAAGACCATCTTCAGAAACTTTACCGTTCTCTCTTTTGTGTGAGTTTTTTACTTTAATGGAAGTGCGAATGAGAAGGGACATCCCCAAAATTATGCAGAGACGTAAATCCTCCTTTGCAGCAGTCTAAGGACCTTCGAAGAATCGCACACTTTGTACCGCATTGAGAGACCACGTGGTCTTAAAACGTCAAATGCATGTACTTTTTGTTCTCATTATTCTAGCTGAGCAACGCCCACTCGTTTCTATCCTGAGTGGTAGAAACCTACCGACCCACTCATCTCTTGGCCCATTGATGACTGAATTTCTGCGCCCGACACTTGATCGCGAGTCATAAAAGTTGATCTTTACGAAAAATCGCCCGATTAACGTCAAGAGAAACGAACGAGAAAAGAACTGCAGAAACGTCGAAGTACGTCAAAAAAAAAGTCAAAGATTTGCGCGTAAAGGAAAGGGGAAGGAAATATTTCTCGTTGGAAGAATCTCTTAGACGTGTGAAGAAAAGGTCTACAGGGAATAAAACATGAAGAAATCAGACGATAAAATAAATAACTGAGAGAAATGATGCAAAAAGAGAGACATGTAGAAGAAGAAAAAATGAGAAGAAAAACTCCCGCATTCGTTGAGGAAGAACCGAAGAAAACGATGCATGAAAGTAAACAAAATAAATGAAAAGTGTGCTGCAAGGAGGAAAGAGTGTAAACAATTTTCTCTCCCGTCATTGGAAGTCTACATACGTGTGCGTATTCGTTTCGTGGAACGTATTTAGCCAATCGATTAGAAAAGAATATTTTTGAGAGCCTACTAGAAATATCAGTTTTCAACTTGCATGATGAAGAAAAACGCATTAAAATTTTAGACATCGCAACCGCAAAATCCCTTACTCAATAGTCCGAAACTAGTTGCTTAAAAAATGCATAAATGTTCCTGTAAAGCAACTATAAGACACGTTTTAAGTGAGAGAGAATTGAAACAGATTTAGAAAGAATTAATCAAATTTTTCGAACTGATTTAACCCTTTTGCGATCCCGGAACTAGCCATCAGGGTACACCGTACACATTAACAGAGTCTCGCGCAAAATTTCTAGGTATAATTTAATAACATGTTTGCATATGATAAATTAAAAAAATAACGCGTTTAGTAGATGCCGGATATATCCGGCGCTGACCAGGGTGAAGCACTTAGTGAATGCCGTATATAACCGGCGCTGAGCGCAAAAGGGTTAATAAACCCGCGATTTCTCTAATGTGAATTCATCCATCTTACTCCATTTTTAATCGTGTCTAAAAAAGTATAACATTTTCAAAACGAATTTTGAGATCTAATGTAAAATGAAATACATCAACCAGTTTAATCCCAATAAATACAAAGTGATGGAATACACGTTGAGAAACGGAGAGAAATGGTTCACTGTAATTTTATCAAGTGTGTCGCAAAAAACGTATTTACACATTCTAATATCTGTCTTTTTCACGACAAATTCAACGTTGATATATCTATTTTAAGATTATTGGACTATCGTTTTAGTCGTGTAACATAGTTCGTCCGTAAAATAATTGTTCATAAAGGTTTATTATACGTTCAAAGAACGTTAAAACATTACATGTTTCTTCTCAACCAGGAATAAACGAATCAAAAACTTAGTATGTAAAATTAACATTTATTTACAAATGTATATTTAACGTAGAGAAAAAACCGTGTATGGATAAAAGTTTAATTTTAACACCTACCACCCTATCTCCACTACATTTACGGGTACAAATCGTGAATTCTACTACTTTATGTTTATTAGGAAGTCTCAGCTAGCGTTGGTATGTGAAAGTGCCGCAAGTCTTTTTGTACCTTATAATCAGCGAAGGCATCCACCACACAAACGACTTCCCTCCATTATGAGAGTGGAAACATCGCCGACGAAAAGAATAATCGTAACATTTTCCAAATACCCATTTTGATTTCTAGTCTTCTATTTTTAGTACTCAACGAACCACAGATGTGAACGTGATATGTCACGTACCTGGAAAAATCGCGGTAAAAAAAAAGAGTATATCGGTGTCAACATACAAATGGAATTCTGCCGAAGATAATACGACAATCTCCATGTTGAATTCTGTGAGAGAAGCGTCGCGTGGTTCCATGCGTCGGCGAGAGCCACGTGACAAGCCGCGTCACGTGACAGTCCATGACGCAAGGAGAAAGATCCTACCATACGCCAGACACGTCAAGTTGACGCGCGCGGTTTGATGCTTTCTACCTGTTATCACTCGTTTAAAAGTACGTAGGACGCAGGAAGTTCTTTGTGCGAAAGACATACGGTGATCCTCGAAACAATTTCTACATATTCGACATGAACGCATTCAATAAAACGTAACGCTAATAAATTCTCAACTACAGTTCTCTCCATAAAATAAAGCGTCGCAATGATTTGTGGATAAGGGAAAGCAAAAATTTCCTTGCTATATTTCCATCTTAACGATTTGTACGTTTCTATGTTACCACAGAATGTAGATTCTCGCTAAGATCACGATTTCGAGAAATTTAAGGTCGAGAAAAATGTAAAATTGACATCCATCAATGGTGAAGCGTCGAAAAGGAATCGAGGAATCATGCGTGGACTCACGTTTCAGCGGTTTCGGGTTACTCTGCTTGCGGCGTGACATCCTCTTCTGCTCTCAGCCATCACCAGACCATTCGCTGCGACATCCTTCCGACGGGTAGACTAGTAGGACGGATCAAGTTAGAGGACTCGACGGTGCGGATTAAGGTTATGTCGAACACGTGAACCGGCGACGCACCGAAAAAGTCAACCCTGAATGCGCCGAACGTGTGAAGCGCAGCAAGGAAACCGCCCTCCACAAAACCGGGAATTCAAAATTGGGAAAATCGCGGGACAATCGAATGAGCGTACACGAAAAAAAATGTGCTTGCACTCCACGGGCACAAAGGTTATTCGGTGACTCGAGAATCGGTTGCATCGAATTGCACTCGTCGACAGTCGCGTGGCAGAAACGTCCACGGCGAGGCGTACGCACACAGAAAGCACCGTGCCTCACCGCTGTCAGCGGCCAACTAAACAAACTCGATGCTAAACAACCCCCCACCTCCGCGCCGGCGTGACTCCGCGTGGCGGGGCGAGATCGAAGGGTGGGGAGGCTCCGCCCACAAAGTCGGTAACACAAGACGCAGAGCGCTGGCATACCGGTCTATCGCAACGCCTAGCTCGACACGGAATGAAACCGAAGACATTTTATTGAGCACTATTGTAAAAGAATAATCACCCCGCAGCAACTTATTACGTTAATTATATTCGATTGGAATGAAATTACACCAAAACTCTGTCAAATGAAACACGAGGTACTTCGCTCCTACGTTATTCAACACATTCGGGATCAATTTAACAAAATTGACATTACTCATTCAAGAGGTTCAGAAAACGACATTCATTGTCCAATTTGGCGCGTCAGGTTAAACATCGCAGATGATGGCTAGGTCAGAGTTTCAAACCTCTATATGTATATTTGGCACGTAACTCTACCGAGTTTCTTAATAAGAATTTTACAAATATTAATATTGTCATAATTGATGGAACGCTATATATTTAACCGTATAGAAAAAAATTAATTCTTTCTTCACAGCTAATCTTTACTGGCACTAACTCGGTCTAGACTCACTCCTTGACTTCGTCATAAGGTGGTGTTAATAAAAGATCTACCAAGCATTCATCCAGCATTAGAACGACATTAATAATTCAAGGTGGACAAAACTCCGCCTTCAAAACACTTAACTTTAATTGGTTCATTAAGCATACAATATGCGATCTGGTTATAATAATACAATGCTTTTTTTAGCATTTCAAAAATGATGCCCATAATCTAGTTTTTATTTAAGGCTTACTTAAATAAGGAATTTGCACAATCAATGGCTAAATCACATTGAATCAAACTCGCTCCTAAAGAACAAACTTCATTTCAATTAAAATACACATACAGATTTCATAGGTAACAGTACCTAGGCCAAGACAAAGTATAAATTATTATATTAATATTTCTAATGCGTGATCCTATGCCACAAAGTCTTAATTAAACCATAAAAACTTAACAGACTAAAGAAGAACAAACTATATACGAATATCATTTAAGCCCACCTAGAGGGAAACATCAAGTGATGTAAAAACTTTTAAACTGTATAGTGATTAATATCAGCAGTACTAGAACGGTTCTAAAGCAAACATTTATTTAATTGTTAGAATGCTATTCTTTTTGCACCAAACAAGCTGGTTATGATATTGACTACAATATTGTACACGGGAAGTTGAATGTTATTGATTGAGCAATATTCACTAATGACATATCAATGAACGTAGATATTATTTCATAAATATTAATAACAAACGAAACTGTACGACGAGTCAACGAATATCTATTCGTTCTGGTCAAGTAGGCAGTGATTACTTCGGATATTCGATAAAGTAACTGGGACTCTTCAAATATCTTGAAGATCATATAATTATTGATTTAAAAGTGCTGATTTCAAAGTGTCGAGAATTTTTAATAACTGACTAGTTGATTAAAACGCTCAATTAAATATTTGCAAAATTTTAGAAGACCAGTTTTTGAAACTTCGACGTATATTTAAACGGTCATGCAAGAGTTACCAATTAGTACTGTTGCTAGACCTAGATAGGCAAAATATTTAATGCGTGATAAAAATTATTATATAATCTATCTAAACAATAAATAATATACTGAAGAATATAATTCGATTGAGTGACAATGAATTGAGGAATATTATTCAAATGTAAAAATACGATACAATAAATCAAAATAATATTCAATTACCTGCAATTGAAAGAAACATTTAGTCTATGATTTGTATTTTAAGAAAGCGTAAAATACCTATGACAGATACCGACATGTGTCTAAATACCGACTGATGTTGCCGCCAACGGTAACATGGAGAGGTGGATAACGAAGCAAGTTAGTCCCGGTCGATAACATAGAGTATCGACTGAGGGTCATGGACAACAATGTACTGTTGATAAGAAATAAGCAGAGTAAGTTATTTCAAAACAGATTCTACGATTTCCCGAACTGATCATAGATGGCAATGTGTGTACAGTGTCCAACAGTCGATAATTAATTTTAACGCGAAGAATAAAACATTCATATAAGGAATTAAAAGGATTAAAGTCGATTGAAGTGATCGAATTGATCCGAGTGCCATTTAGGTAATGGAACAAAAGCAGCACTACTGTGTATCATGACATTACTGCGATCTGTTACTTACTTTTGCCTATTTTATAATGAAATTCGAACAAGTTTGATAAAATTCTTGACCCCCGTTCACCCAATACTGTCTTCTTACATTTTTCCTTAGTTTATTACATTATAGCCCAGGCAACCCAAGAAGTGGAATATACGTAAATTAATCGTCTAAATTAGATCTATACGTACAGCAAATGTATATCGTCTATCATCAATCTAAAAAAATATTTAAAGATATATGTAATTATCTATGTCTATTGTAGATGGAAATTATATATCCATTATTGATCTACAAACATCTACTTATTTCTTAACGCATACAAAATATATAATAGGTCTAGTAAACATCTACCAAAGGTTAATCAACATCGTTGAAAATACATTCAGAAAAATAAAAAGGCACCTCATGTAACCTAACGTTCTTCATACATACTTAATGTTTATATCTAAATCCCAACTTGATAAAACTGGTTTGGCTGGTGACCATACATCATGATTTTTTACCACTGTGTAAATTATGACGTACTACCAGACACCATATAAAGTATAATATACTTCTAGTGATTGTACAAATTAGGACATAAGTATAGAAAACGTACGTTATCTATGGTATGCATAATAAAAATATCCCGCGAATATATATCTAAATCTTTTTCACGCCTCTATTTTCAGTACATATATCATAAAAGTCTAGATAACTAGTATAGAAAACTAAACTATTCGAAAACGTTAAACTGATTGTTCATCTTCAGATTAATAGTTTATATTCAGCTTTCACAGACTTATAAAAACGTAGTTACACTGCAAAAAATTGCGCACATTTAAATGAAATATCTTTGAATAATATTCATAAAGTTCATGCACTTTTAGTATATAAGGTTGTACTAAAATTATGAGTTTAGTATCTTAAAAGTGAATCGGTATACATTGATTATACATTTTGAAATTAAAAGATGATTTTATAACATACTGTTACCATTTTTTACTCCCACTCTCCCTCTCCCTACCAGTAGTAGGTAGTAGGTACCAGTAGTATCTACTCCAGTAGGAAATAGGAACGGCAACCATGATGTTACCAAAGCCTATGAAGGAATGAATATTTTTCGAACTTATGAAGATCACTACGGTACTTTTCGATCAATGCTAATGATACTCATTGCACCTTGTTGTAAACTTATTCTTTAAAAAAATCTCCTAAATAATTATAAAATTAAAAAGTCATAAAAAATAATAACAATATGTTATAAAATAATTTTATTTATAAAAAAATAATAAATGTATCATGATTTACTTTTAAGATACTATATTCGTAATTTTAGTACAACCTTACATATTAAAAGTGAATGAATTTTGTGAATACTTTTTAAAAATATTTCATTTAAACGTGTTAAATCTCCTACAGTGTAACTACATTTTCATGAGTCTGTGGAAGCTGAATATAAACTATCAATTTAACGTTTTCGAATATTTTAAATATTTATATACGTTATCCAGACTTCTATGATATGTGTACTGAAAGTATAGGCGTGAAAACAATTTACATGTATATTCCCGAGATATTTTTATTATATATAGATGATATACGTTTTCTATACCTATGCCCTAATTTGTACGTCCACTATAAGTGTATTATACTTGATATGCGCCTGCCCATTATTTACATCGTGGTTGCAAATCATGAAGTATGGTCACTAGCCAAGGAGGAAGTAAATAAAAAATCAGAATATAAACGAAATTAACAGTTATATCCAATTGAAATTTAGATATAGATATTAAGTACGCATTAAGAATCTTAGGTTACATGAGGTGTCTTTTTATTTTTTTAAATGTATTATCAACGATGTTGATTAGCCTTTGGTAGATGTCTACTAGAGCTACTATATATTTTGAATGCGTCAAGAATTAAGTAGATATTTGTAGATCAATAGTAGATATATAATTGTAATCTTCAAGAGACATATATATTTATATACGTTGTGTGGATATTTATGATATATACTGTGTAGCCATATAGGTACATAAAATAGGTTTATGTACTTACAAAAGATTTTTTGCTACACATTTGCTATACCTAAGGACCTAATTGATATGGGTAATATAGAGATATTCCACTTCGTGCGGTGCCTGTGTATGTACATTATACTTATATTCTTGTCCGTGTTTTCATATACTTCTACCTTAAGTAATAAAATTTCATTTGATGCACAAATGTGTGATTTCTCGATCATCACTTTTCTACTTCCTCTTCTTCGGGAAGGGGTAGTGTCATTATAACTGAAACGTAAAGAATAGTAACGGGTCTTATATACAAACGAGCTCTCTGCATCACCTGTAAAAAGTGTGGCCATCTGGCGGTCCTGTCGAAACAAAGAGTGCTACAACATTTGTTCTGCAATCACATAGGCAAGTTTAAAATAACCTTACAATGTGTAAAATCTGACTATAATTGTAGTTACATCTATCAGATAAACCATCCATTTTACTGGGCTTATTATAACCACTTCATATAATTTTAATATTAGAATTTCAAATGTTGATCATTACCCAGGTAACCTATGAAGTAGAATATATGTAAATTAATCGTCTAATTTAGGTCTACAGGTATAACAAATGTATATCGTCTATCATCCACCTATAAAAGTAAAAATTATATATCCACTATTGATCTACAAATATCTACTTATTTCTTGACGTATACAACATATATAATAGCTCTAGTAGACATTTACCAAAGGTTAAACAACATCGATGAAAATACGTTTAGAAAAATCAAAAGACACCTCAT